CAAGGACTCGGTTCCAACAATACTTCCCATCTCCTGCCCCGTCCATCCTTTTGTTATTGGGTCATCCCATCAACAAAATGCCATTATTTCTTCTCTTAAAACAAAAACAACGAAGTCTTGATTCTGCTTTTGCTATCCCAAACCATCCCATTTCTCCGTTGCCCTTGCGTCACAACTCCTCGAGTGGTCCTATTTGTCCGCAACACTCCATCAAAACTGGTCCCATTAAGATCACTAGTGGCCTCCATGTTGCAGACCCAGTGGGCATGTCCCAGCTGGCTTCTTACTTGGCCCATGAGCAGCATTGGGCACATCTGGTCACCTCCTTGACTCATTTTCTTCCCTTGGGGCAAGACACCACATACCCTTGGCAGCCTACTGACTCAGTGTCAGATCTCCCCATTCTCTCCCAGAGCTCCTGTGTCAGAGGGCCCCTGGCTCACTCCTCCATCCTCTTTTCTTCTTTCCTGATCTTTCCAATTCAGTCTCCTGGCTTTCAATAGGACCTAACAGGTCACAGACCCCCACATTCTTATCTCCAACAGAGATTTCTTTCAATTCCAAATTTGTACATCCACGTGCCTTCCTGACATTTCTATTTGGATATCTAATAGTCATCTCAAACCACCACATTCAATACTGCCATCACGATCTCGTCCCTTAAACCTGCTCTGCCTGCAGCCTCTGCCACCTCCATTCACAGCCTCTGTTCTGTCCAGACCAAAAGACTTGCCAACTCCTTAACGCCTCATATCCTCTCAGGCATCAGATCGAATCCATTAGGAAATCTTCCAAATTCAGACGGCAAAAAGGAGAGTGAGAAGGATAACATGAGTGGGAACCAAGACAAAGTCGCAAAGTAACAGACATCACTGGGACCAAAGGCCCCTATTTGGAAATCATAGCAAATAAGGGTCCACAGGGAATAGGTTAGGTTCACTTTATGAAGGTACCAGAGCCAGGTAAAGACAGGTTTTGAGGTGGTAAATTCCTAAATCATGGAGCTCCCCACATTTCTCACCCATTCATTGTAACTCCCACCCATTCCCCAACCCCCAGAGCTAAAGAAAATTAGTCTTAATGGCAAAGGTACCATAGTTTAGAAGGGAAAAAGAGGCAGTGAACCTTTAAAAGAACAATTTAGATTTTATGCACCAGTTTGGACCTTTAAATTCCAAATCAACACTTACAAATTTGTAAGTTTTTACCTTAAAGTACCTTTTTCTGTTATGAGACCTATAAGGGTCCCTCCACTACAATGCTTCTCCTACCCACTCCAACAACAATCTGTTTCTGGGTATGTAATTTTCAATACTTCATTTTATCACATATTGACATTTCTTTTGGCAAATTCCTTACAGAGATGGACCTCTGCATCATCTTAGGTGTCCTGTGTGCTGAATATCATACAATGAAGACATCAACTTAACCCAAGACTTATCAGAGGGTCAGAAATTTATCATGGAAAAACACCTCACTCTTACCATACATCAAGTCCTTACTATTTCCAGTGCAAGAATTTGGCCTCCTAAAGCTATTCTATAACACTTAATATGGCAACCTTACTATTTTATATAATACCAGGTTTTAAAATCTCTCAGGGGTGTTATGATCAGATACTTATCTATTATTGGTTCTCAAATGTTAAATTTAAATGTAAATATAACAAAATCTACCATCTGAAATATTATAGTTCTGGAAATGTTGAAAAGATTGAATGAAGTTAAATTTAATAATCTGGAGATATTATAACAAAGAATAGTTTTCAAGATTTCTACTGAGGCAGCAATACCATAACAATTAAGAGCCCAAACGTTGGTATCAGTAAGACTGGATTTTAAACAATGTGATTCTGGGCAAGTGACTAAGTTTATTTCCAACCCTGTAAAATGGGAGGTGGATGTGGCTAGGAAAGGGCAACAGTGGGGGAACTGATGATGGAACTGTACTGTATCTTGACTGTATCAGTGTCAAAATCCTGGTTGTAATATTCCGTAGTGTTGCAATATATTATTATTGAGAAAAATGGTAAAGGGTATACATGAGCTCTATATTACTTCTTACAACTACATGTATATCTACAATTATCCCCAAATAGTTTAAGAAGTCATTTGCAAATGTTGACTTATAATTTTATATTAATTTCAAAGTAATTATTTTGAGACTCCAAATTACTTTATTTAAATTCAGCAATGTTATAACCAGAAGGTGGCGCTATTACCACATGAATGTGCCATACTAGGCACTATGTTGCTTTAAATGTCACAAAAACGGGATACTAGTATTTATCAATCAAAATTATAAATGTTACCCCCAATTCAGCAATATTTTAATACATGTCTTATGTGAGGCTTGAGAAAATATTTTAAAATAACATAACAAATAATTTGGGTCTGCATAACATGGAAGGTTTCAAATGGAAAATACAACCCATCTAAGTAGATTTTTCATCATGTCCTATCTGGACCGTCAAACTCTTCCAAAGACAAAGAAAGTCTTTTCAAATCTGGTATTAACCTGTTGTATCACTGCATTTTTTAATACAAACATTTCTTGCTGTAGTTTTTTTGAGCTCAAAACAGTTCTTTTGAGAAAGCACCACTTAAAAGTAAAGTCCTAAACTGCAACTAGAAGTAAAAAGGAAAGCTGAGAGAGGGTCTCTCTTTCTGTGAAGGCAATGAAGTTTAGAAGTTTCTCTTGGGGTTTTTATTTTTATTCTTTCAAGGATGTCTGGGTTTTTTATTTAAGTATGACAATACACAATTTTATATTGGTTTCAGGTATAAAACAGTGGTTCACCAGTTAACCCACATTAAATTCTTACCCCAACTAGTGCAGTTACTACCTGTCAACATAGGAAGATGCTATAGAATCACTGACATATTCTCCATGCTGTACTACCATCCCTGCGACCAACTTATGATTGAGAATTTTGCGCCCCTTTATCGCCCCATCCTCCCCACCCACTCCAACCCCTTCCCCATGGTAACCACCAGTCACTTCCCAGTGTCTATGAGTCTACTGCTGTTTTGTTCATTTTGTTTCTATATTCTACAAGTACGTTAAATCATGCGGTATTTTTTTCTCTGCCTGGCTTACTTCACTTAGCATAATACATGCTAGGTCCATCCATGCTTCATTTTATGGCTAAATAATATTCCATTGTGTATATGTACCACATCTTCTTTACCCATTTATCTATTGATGGACATTTTGGTTGCTTCCATATCTTAGCTATTGTAAATAACGTGGCAATAGGTGCAAGTTACTTCTCAATCCAGGGTCAGATGCATCGGTGACCTCATTATGTTGCTCTTTTATAAAGTACAAATGTTCTAATCCCTCTTCTTTGTGTACAGTATCTCATAATAAAAAAAGTGAGGTGCAGAAGTGCATAATATGCCATCATTTGGGTAAAAAGAAGGTATGTCTAGAGGGGCATGCCAGGAAGGAGAAATAGTGTTTACCTACCCTGGAGAGGTGAGGGCTTCGCAAATGCTGGAGAAAGACTTCAGTGTTCTGAGGGTTTTTAAAATCTGAACCATGTGACCCTTGTGTTCTCATGCCAGTTCCCTACTGATGGACAGTTAGTTTATCCCTTTTCCTCCATTAACACAACAAACATTCTTGTCCATGTTACCTTATGCATCTGTGCTAGATTTTTCTCTAGACCAGAAAATGTTTATACTACTTACACTCAGAAAAGGAATGGCTGGCTGGGTGACAGGGTGTGAGCTCTTCCAGTATTGACAAAAAACTTGTCAACTGTCTCCACTTACTCCATAAGTCAGTTTCCACTCCCCCCGCTCTCACCAAACCAGATGCTACAATTTTTTAAATTTCTACTTAGAATTGATATTGTGCTGCTGTTTCTGGGAGCATTTACCTAATGTTAATAGGATAATCCCCTAAAATGGTGAGGTTGGCCACCCTTTCATTCACTTTCTGCATATTTGTGTATCTTCTGGCAGTTTTTCTGCTCAAATCCATTCCATTCTTCTTAGATTTCCTATTTCTTTTTACTGATTTGCAGATCTCCATGTACTCTGGGTTTCTGTGATGTATGTCATAGATATTTGTCTTCCTGGTCTGTGGCTTGTGGAATGGTTTCTTTGGTCATATAAAACTCCATTTTATGTAGACCTATTTTTCAATACTTTCTTTCATGGTACTTGCTTTTGGAGCTTCTTTTTTCTTAACTGGTTAAGACTGTTGACCAGCCTGCAGGGTTCTTATGAGGAATAAAGACAAAGTGAACAGAGTATCGAATGTTCCTTAGTTTGGCAGCCACTGCAGGCAACATGCGAGGCTCCTCTGCCGGCCTAGCATCCCAGTGAGAGTCCTGCGACTCTGCCCCACCCGGCCAGGCAGCAGTGACACAGTGCTGGGGAGGGTCACGGGACTAGGGTGTGGGTAGGCACGGGCAGCAGCAGGGCGCTCCCCTTGGCTCCTGAACCAGTTCTCATTTTTGGGTTTTTAAAGAATACAACATTTCAAATAACTTACAGGGAAAGGAAATTAAGCTGCATTTAATAAAACTATCAAAACAGAAATCCTTGATTCAATTCCATTATTATTAGATACTGGAGATACAGCAGATGTAGACTATTTGTTACTAAGAGCAGGTTTGCAAGAAACGGCCTCTACCACTTGACTGCGTTTTCTGAGTGCATGTCAACCGCCCATTCCCTCTGCACTCAGCCGTGCTCATGTCTTAACCCGTCTAACCAATAGCCAAACACTGCAAAGGCAGCCCAGATGATTCAAAGTATGCTCTGAAGCCAACATATTTAATTTTGTTTTAAAGAACACTGTTCTAATTACACAAAATATTTTTTCCAAAAAGATTCACCTTGCCTTGTGCAATTTCAAGCTATGCCTTTCAATTGTTACTAATTAGTTTGTCTTTAAATTCATAACTTCAAGTCAATAATTAATCAAGCACATTTTGTACTAGTTCTGTTTGTTAACACAAGAGTTAAACCAAACCAAGTGAGAAATAAGTTAGAATTCTGAGCAATTTATTCTCAAATCATTACAGTGTTCAACTAGTTTGACATATAAAGATAACAGACATAAAAGTAAACATTGGGAAGCACACACATACATTCCCATTCTGAAATAAGACATGTTATCTATACAGAAAAAAAAGCAGCAAATATTAAGGTATTCAAAGTAATTTTTTTGATAATTCAGATGTGACATATTTACAAGAAAAGTACAAGTTTTAAAATAATTAAATAATTTTTATAGAATTACAAAAGTATTGAGATAAATATTAGGAGACTTTGACAATCACATTTTCCTATGCTATTGAATACAAGGGTAATTCTATAAAAAGTCCCAAAATAGAGCTTGTATTTTGCCACTATGAAACATATCAAATTACCAAAATATGCTAAAATTAACATGCAATGTGGAAGCTGTACCAAAGAAAACAGCATTAGGCTCCTAAATGTTGCAAACTGCCTACACAAGATTTCTTAGGTGTGTTCACAAAAAAGGAACATTCAAAAACGCCATTATAATGGATATATCCAGCAGAAAAAACTACTAAACTTTTCCATTCTATCATGTCCAAATGTAGCTTCAAAAAAGAAAAAAAATCTAAACATAACTTTAAAAAATAATAGCTTATGAATAAAAAACTTGAGTGATGCATTCTTTATGAATTTGGATTTTTTAGACTGATCCTATGATAATTCTAGTATACTAGATAGTAACGAACATCTGGACCCTACCACTGTAATAGGAAATCTCTTTCTCAAACAAGAAGTCATCTTAGAAAATGGAAAGGAGAAACAGTGACATGCATGAATTCAAAACAAAACAGTACTGTAAAATGGCAAAATATAAAAATAGCAGCATGTGAAAATTCAAGACTAATTTCATAAAGTGAATGTTTAAGTACTGTAAAGATGGTACTTGCTCAAACTGGTCTATTATTCAACACCTGAAACTGAGGATTTTTTTAGGGAGGTGCTTGTATTTATGATATCCCTATGATTAAATGTATACTCAAATTGTGTTTTGAAACATATATATTGCACAGGTAGAATAACAGCATTCTGGCATCTCTAACATAAAGTGTTATCTTACTTGATACACTGAACTATGCTACTGAAAATTAATTTTATCCCAATGTTTAAAACCAAGCATGTGCGGCTTTTGAACACATTAATCTCAAAAGACTCTTAAACAAGATGAAAAACACAGGCACTTGAACACAGATTATTAATGGCAAAAAGTAGAGGCTACAATCACATGACTAAGGGCAGTATGTCTTTACATATAAACTGGAGGTCTTTCACTGATCCAAATATAGAAATAACTATTTATAAAACTTGGATGAGGAAATCAGATCTCCCAGAAATTTCATACCAAGTAATTTTCATTGAATAAAGTAAGGACACGTAAGGACTGCTCTAAGTCGTGATTAAGCTTTTTCAAACAAATGTGTAAGATACAGTTGTTTGAATTCTAATTTCCCCTTTTCTCCACCCCAGTACAACCTACAACCCCTAATTGTCTAATAATACCCTCTAAGAAAAACTTACCAGTCACTTTGAGATCCAGAGCATCAAAAATGGGATCACTTCAAAACAGCCCACACTGTAATATAAATGTTACAGCACCACGGACATAATGAGTTTAGTTATCTGAGTCTGGCAATATTTCATTCAATAATATTAACCAGTAAGAATATGTAAATATCAAATACCTAAAAGGAAATCATAGTAGCATTTTAAAAACAACCAAAATAATAAGCATTTTTAATATTTTAAGTTGTTAAACATTAAATTGTCAAATTCACTAGGAAAAAATATCACACGACATTTTTATCACCCAAATGAGAGCACACAAAGCTTTGGACAGTTGATACTGAGACACTTAGGGTTTGTCTTTTCATTTTTTTAAGAGAAATTCCATTTAGTTTGGCCACTTCCTGGATTCTTGGCTTACCAGCTTATAAAGAATACATCTAAGAGGCAGTATAGTATATGTATTAAAAACCTTTCCACCCTTTATCATCTTTGGCTAGAAGCCTCATGAAAGGAAACTGAGGGGCTGTGAGGCGGGGCGGGCTCCACGTGCTTCCATCCTACACATCGCTGACTGGAAGGCTTGCATCATCCAAGTCCACGGGGTCACAATCTTTTTCCTGAGGGCCATTTTCACTTTGAGGTTTTAACAGAGCTTGTTCAGTCACTTTGGAAGCTGGTTCTCTTGGAGAGACAGTCTGGACCTTGAAGTTCCCTGGCTTGACCTTGGCAAGAGATTCGTAAAATCCTCGCTTCTCCATGGTAAAGCTTGAGACCAAAGAGTTGCTGCGAGAGGCTGTGGAATGTGAGGAGGTGGCTGCTGCTGTGCTGGCAGGGCGGAAAGTGGGTCTGGATTCTGCAAGACAGCTGGAGTGCTCCTGTAAAGAGGAGTGGCGGTCAGATACAGGCAATCATTAACGACAAGGTTAGTAACTCAGTGTGAGACTTTATTCTCTGAAAAACAAAACAAAAAACAACACATACACAGAGCAGAAGCATGAGCCAAGCAGCATACATGTGAAGTTCTTTCCCAAAGCAATGCATTTTTAGGAGTGAATTTAAAGCAATGACAGCCAACAACCATTTCCACTAGAAACCAGTTCTGTCACCAAAGCTGAATGTGGCAGCTTTCACACTCTGAAGATTCAGTCAGCCTAGGGTGGAACACAGTATTCCAACTGCAACTGAACTGTGTTTAAAAGGCCTACTACCTTTATCAATTTATTCAAGAGTATATTCTCAATCAACATTAGGAATTATCTGACATATTTTAGAAAGATAAAAAATGAAAATACAGAATATAAAAATGAGGGCCAGAATAAGAAGAACTCAACATTTTTCAAACCTATTATTTTGTCTGGCAGTCTCACAAATTTAGTTTCTGTTTCCCTGAATTTCACTGTACCCAATAGCACAGTATTTTCACTTTTTAAAAAACTGCATTTATTTCATTTTGCATATGTCATAACATTCACATGGCTCAAGATTTTAAAGGTAACAAAGGGTACATACTTAGTTATCTATTAGAACTGTGAGGTAATTATTAGTTAAGAAGATTAATTTCAATATGCTTCTAACTATATCAAATCTAAAGCTATACTTAAATATGACCATTCCAAATGCATTGCCATATAGTTCTTCATATATTGTGCTCAATTATGATACTAGTGGCTTTGAAAACAGTGCTACAAGATACCAAAAGACTACAGATTCCCATTAAATGGCTAAATTTCACCTGAGACTTAAAATGCCATGCAAACTATAGTAATGTAGGATTTATCCAATGCATATGCATGCATGAGTTTGCACATATAAGAACAAAAGATGCATTTCAAGTAGTGTAGTATAAAAAATTTCAAAATACAAAAAAATGTACAAATTGAAACTCTTGTGGCAATTCAGTAAATTAATTTTTGGAAGATAGCTTAATATGACTTTTTCAAGTAGTAAAGTCATTTTTTTCATGATTTTTCTTTTTTAAATCTACATATCCAACCTGATGACTGTAGTGAAATAGTTTGTGTTAGTGTTGACAAAGTCAGTTATGGTAACTGCAAAAGGCAGTTCGGTTAACTCAACTTTCTATGATCGGTTGTAAGTAGTGAGTGAGTCCGGGCCCCCTAGTAAGAAGGCACGGCTGCGTGAGAGCCCACATACGTGCTGCATTCACCAGTTCTTGATGTATACCTCTGTATACAAGGATTCGACAGCCTTCTGGCCTGCCGCATCTGGAACACAGTGCAAAGCTAAGATTAGAGTTAACCTATACTGGGAGGGGGAGTAAAAGAGAAAGTTCTGCTGAGAGTTACAGCTGGATAGTCCGATTTGCCCCCACCATAAAGCATAAGACACAAATGCCCTTCTCCAACTTTTCCTCTTCCCAACAGACATTGTTTTTGCAGAGAGTCTCATACTTGGTTGCTGAAAAGGTCACATAAAACACAGGCAGTTACAAAATTAGCCCCTATGAAAGTGACTTCTGAGATATTCCAAAAAGGATATAAGGAGAATAACTTAAGGAATGAAAATGATGAAATTTTATTTACTGATCTGCAGTTATTACTGCCAAGAAATTACTGAAGGACAATATTACTACCAGGAAAATAGTAGAAGTGCAGAATATCTAGCATGTATAATGCACTCAGGCTATCATGCCACATATTAACTACATTCTGTAATAGAAAAGTGCTATATTTTAAGACACTTAAAAAATGTTCCTTTCTCAGTAAAATGTGTATTTTCAGATCAGATACTAGTGGCCAAAATATTTTAAGTCAAATATTATTCCTATGATGTACTTCAACATGATAAATTAAAAATTAAAAACATTCTTCTTACTATTTCTGAGAATGTTTAGCTGTTTCAAATTTATTATCATACTACCACAAAGATAGTAATGCCAGTGAAAAGAAGCATCCTTTTAAATTAACTTACTAGAAATGAGAATGAAAACATGAAATGGAAAATACTGACTCTGAGTAGACTGAATTGTATTTAAGTTCCAGCTGCCCAGTGGTATTATGGCATTTCATATTAAGCCAAAAATCAGTGTAAGTCAGAATCAGAGGAAGAGGAATTTGAGATGGTTATTAAACAGTGTAATGTAACACCCAAAGGTGCCTTACATCATTAGGACACATATCACACTAAGAATTTGTCAAGTAATACCAAATCTAGACCTACTAACACATAAGAACTCCTAAAACAAAGCAAGGAAACATTCATTCTTTAGTTGCCCTGCTTGTGCATTTAAGACAATACAATGCACAGAAAGTTATGTATACATAACACTACAAGGAGGCATTAAATTAGAAATGCATTATTTTTTTTGCAAGTCCAATTGGTATGAAAGTCAACATGCAAATAAATCTCAATACAGAAAGAAACCAGAGGATTAGGGGGAGAAGAAAGAAAGTAACTTGAGAGGATGGGGAGAACGAAGGGAGTATCACCCCAGAGAACAGGAAACATACAGAAGATGCTGATCGGCCAGGTCCCCTCTGTGCTACAATGGCACCAGAAACTGCTTTAATCCAGCTGTGCATCTCTTCAGGGCTATCAGCCTAATGGAAAGAAAGGACTTATTCAGTCAATTTTTCCTCAAAATCAGTTCTGTCTATAAATCCAATATATTCACTTTGGTGATTAATAGTGTCAACAACAAAGTCTTAAGGTGATAGTTTACAGAAAGTTTTAGAGACCACCTTTTTAAACTAGGTTTTGTGAGTGAGGTATCACACAGAGATGTAAGTTGAGCACTTAACATTTAAGATCAAACACATCGACAAGTGTTAAGTACTTCTGGAGAGAAAACTATATATAAGGAAAAAGTCAAAGGAAGACCTCATTTTGCTCTATCTACTGCTACATTGTCTGAATTTGTTACAAGAATATTCAGGTAATTGTGTAGTTGAAAACTATTCTGACATCATTTGGCTTTCCTTGAAATAATTTCTAGTAGTACTCTAAATCCTAAGAGAAGTTCTGGTAGTAATATTCCAAAGTAGCATATTCCTTGAAATGACCTTGTCTTTCAATGTGAATTTAAAACCTTACTATGACTTCAGTCCCATTAAACAGGTCCTAAGGAGGGGTATAGAGACATTGCCCTTCACTTCTAGATTTTATCTAGAAGTTCAAAAATTTCGAACTACAAGATGAACATTTTTGAACTGATATTAACAAGGACTTTTTAAAAGGAAGGACCCAAACCAGGCAAAAGTAAAGAGTATATTTTCATTCATTGCAGATAGGAGCACAAATCTAGAAATCAATTTGGCAAAATAAGAGGTTTAAAAGGTCCACGTTCTGATGATAATTCTTGATCTTAATCTAAAGAAAGAAATTCAGGCAAATTTATGCACAAAAATGTTCACCACCACATTATTTATCACAGTAAATATATCAAAACTATGTAAATGAATGATCAGTAACAGAGCAGCAGAGAAACAGCTGAACTACAGAACATTCACACAGTATAGTATTTCTAAAAGTTTTCAGAGGATTTTTAATGATGTGGAAAAAAATGACAATATATAAAACAAATAGGATATAACACTATACTTAATATGATCCCCTACTTCTTATAAAAAGATGTCTTTAAAAAGGCTGTAAAAAAAATAAGAATGGATGCCTGAATGGGGGATTCTGTGTTTTATAAACTACCATTTTCTTCATATTTTGCTTTTTTCCATATATTCTGCAGTAAGGATATGTAACTTTCATAAAACAAACACAAATGTTCTTTTATGAATCTTCCAATCTAAAAAATTCAATGTGGTAAGTAAAAAGTGTATTTTAAACTTACAAACAGGATGCTTATCTATCATCAGTGAAAGTATGAGATCTACTATCTACATTCACTAAGGGTATTTGAGTTCTCTTTATCAAATTACCAAGAACTGATATAATCAAAATTCCAAAATATGTGCAAAAATAATCCAAATTGAAAGTTAGCACCTTAATCAAATAGCATTTCCCTTCCTCCAAATATGACTTAATTCTATTCAATAACTCACAGCAAATACCCCTATTTGCTGCACATATGACCTACCAATAATCTTATATCTAACTTCTTTTCAGCTGATGAATTAGTCATTAGATTTTTTGCTTATTCTTAAAAGCAACAAAGTATATTTATGCTTACTTCACCTCTAAATTACTGATTTCTTATTAGAAGGATCTACAATCTTCAGAGGTATCTTACCTGCACATAGAAAGTTCGAAAGGATGTTACAATTTCAAAGAGGTTGTCCCTCATCATTATGTCACTGTTAACAAAAAAAAAGTTTTTCGAATTGTACTTAAACTGCAGTTGTGTAATAGTTATTCTTTCACTTGTTTATCCAGTACCACATGTATGCCAACAAGAAAATTAATATTAGAAGTAAAATACTGATTTAATTTAAAACCAAATTATTTTTCAATTCATTTTTGTATTACCTAATTTATATAGTTGTATATAGTTTCAGCACCAACTAAATTTAAATTCAGTTTTCAACTGTGAAGAAATAAGTTTGCTCTAAGAAACTGGTACAGTTAATGCATTTTCTTATAAAGCTCAAAGCTGCAGCAACCTCAGAGTACTAAAATAAGTAATACATCAACTTGCCAAATATAATAGAAGTCATTCACATTAATTTTTTTCTATCAGCAAGCTTAAGGTCTGCTTTCTAATTTTTAGTTTTCAAATAAAACAAAAAAATTAATATTTTAGTCTGAGGGTTTTGAAAATTCTGGCATATCCCAACTATAAAGAGTTAAAATAATACTAGAGGTAACACAAAAAAATACCACCTATCAGCACAACTATCACACTGAGGCACTAATGTGCATTAATGAAGTTATGCCAGGGACCCAGTAAAAGTTGGTACTTACCTCTGCTTACATTCCTGGACTTTATGAACCTCTTTAAGTGGTATTATGCGAAGAGGTTCCTTTTCCTGGCAAAAAAACAAACAGGTACGTGACATACATTCTTAAAATCTTTTTTAGAGTTAGTTGTCCTATTTGGAGATCCATGAAAATTAAATTTCTTTATTAAAGCACATCTAAGGCATTAATCTAACTTATTGAACCATCCAGCATCAGAACAGCTCGAATACTATAACTTCATACTGTTTGAAACAAGGAAACTGGCACATAACCCATATTCACATTATTTCTGGCTTTAATGACAGTGTAGCTTATTAGCAGCTGTTAACCTTCGGACTTTTCCCTGACATACCCCTATGTACCAAGCAGTGCAGTACCTTCCCTTGGAATGTTATTTTGATATAGAAGGTGCCAGAGTAGCACATACCCAGCTTCTTTTGAGTTTAATTTGTCATTTTAAGAATACCACTTTTATATATATTATTAAAATATAATTTCATATAAAATATCATATACAGTATTAAAATACATTATTTTAATAACAGTTAACTGAACACTTACTAAATGCCAGGACAACTGCTAGGTTTTAAATGCGTTATCTCACTTAAACAACCCTACAATACATGCACTGTTTTTCACCTGAGGAAATGGAGGATTACACATGTTAAGTACCTCACCTAAGATTAGAAAAATAGATATGATATAAACATAAGAAATAACTAGTTCCTAACAGCATAATACTTATTACTGTACCTTCCATGAAATACTATATACTGTATTTCACTGACTAGGACACCATGAGATTAAAATATACCATTATTTTATGTAGCAATAAAAAATAAAGTATAGCTAAACACTTTTTTAAGAAAAAAATCACAAAATATTTCTTTAAAGGTTTATAAAATAGCCCATTTTTATTAAAATAATTTCAGATTGTAAAAGGCTTAAAAAAGCAATGTGCAGAATTTCTGTATCCAATATAACGCTTTCCAAGACGTCAGTAGCTCACACTTGCTGGATCACTGTCTGCGTGTGTATGCATTTTTTTCTGAAATAGGCAACTTGTACATATGACGCACTTTACTACTAAATACTTAGGTGTCTATTTCCTAAAACAAGAATGTTCTCCTATATAACCATGGTACAATTATGAAAACTAGAAACTTCACACTGATACAATATTGGTATCTAATCCACAGACCATATTCAGGTTTCATCAATTGCCCCACCAGTGTCCCTTACAGCAAACAAAAAACTGAGTACTTGATGATCCAGGGTTTAGTCAGGGATCATACTTTGTGTCTGGTTGTCATGTCTCTTAGTCCCTTCACTGCGGAGTAGTTCCTCAGTCTTTCTCTTTCATGACCTTTAGAGTTTTACAGAGTCCAGGCCAGTTCCTTTGTAGAATGTCCCTTCATTTGGGTTTGTTTGATAATTGTGCTTATATTAAGGTTATACAATTTTGGCAGCACCGAAACGTGACAAGTTCTCAGCACCATTCTCAGGGGCACGTGACAGCGGTCGGTCCCATTACTAGCGTAACCCTGGTCTCTTGCTCACGGTCATGCTTGCTGGTAACTGTCAAGTTACTCTTCCTTCGTTGCCATTATTAAGTGCCTTGTGGGAGATATACTTAGAGCCCCTGTAATACCATTTCCCATCATAATTTTGCTCACTAGTTTTATGGGCAAACATAAAGAATTCTTGCCTGAAACCATTTTTACTACAATGGCTGCCAAACGGTGGTTTTTCTAACCCTATCAATTCATCGATATATATTAGCTGTTTTAAGGAAATACTTTTCCTCCTCCATTTATTTATTCACAACTTGTTTTAGTATCTGGGTCACAATCTATTACTATCATTATTTATTTTGGTTTTCAACCTGATTTGAGTTTGGGCATTGGAAGCCCCTTCTGTCTGGCTTCTGGGTCCTTCTGACATGTTCCTACCATTCTGTGAATACCTCCTCACTTTCTCACACAAGACATTCCAGGCTTATTTTATATTTGTTTCTCCTGTCTCAGATTTGGAATGTTGCCATTCCTCCATGGAACCTAGGTCTCCTTCCATGGAAAATAGTAGTTTGTTTCAGTGCACAGAGCTAGGGAGTATATTATATACATATAGACATGAATACATTTGTATCTGTATTTTGTCATCTATCTGTATATGTTAAAAGTGCACATCAATACATCCAATTCCAATCTAATACAAAAGTTTTCTCCTTTTTCATATTTATTACTTCTTTCTTTGACAATGAGAAACCTGGCTTCCACTATCCTAAATATATGTCCTTATTTTATCAGTAAGTGTATATGGAATCCTTCTCCCATTTCTGCCACCTCACTTTCTCCCCAACGCAGATGCCCTCTTCTTCCTACTTCCTGCTGGACTAACCCCCAAAAAGGCAGGCATCCCTGTCCTGGTTGGGCCCTGACTGCCCACACCAGGCTACTCTAGTTCCTTCTGCCCCCGCCTACACACAGAGTTAAATGTTGACTTTCAGAGACTCACTTCTTTCCACCACCTCCTCCAGCACCCCTTTAGAGGAAATTTGCAGACTGAGGGGTTCTGATTTTTAATTCTTTCAAGGTGGAATGGCTTTGAAGATACAATATTTTTGCTTAGGATATATTTTACAAAATTATTATTAACCCAAAGCATCACAACACAATAAACTGAACAGTATCCACCTCTCAAAACCAGTTTAATTGCTATATTTTAAAAATAGAAAACAGGACAAGAAATATCATGTATATATGCAACTACCACAGTGCAACACTTCTCAACCATTTCAAAGCAACATTTATGACAAAGCAACATACCAGTTCAGATTTGAAGTAGCCTATTGTGTTTTCATCCAATTGAAAGTATCTTCTCTTCCAGTTTTTCATCTAGCAGAGATGAACACAGACATAAGACTTCTGTTTCTAAGAATGTCAAATGTTAATAACCACTTAATTATTCTGATATGAACCCACAACAGAAATGTCAAGCAGTGAAAAACCTCAGAACCGTCCCTTGGTGAGGAGATACATGAAACTTTCTCTCTTCACTACTCAGGCCTTGAACTCCTAATTCAACCTTGATGGTCAGCTTTCAGCCTTTATTATATGATTTTATAATAAGATTTCATATTTTTAATTGCTCCAAAAGTCTTTAAAAAAAAATTCCCCATCCTTCCTATTCTCCCCACTCCCAAGTAAATGCTATCAAGAGTTCAAGAGCAACCACAGGAAATGTTATTAAACCACATCAAGTTTCTCCATCTGTAAAATACATAAATCCTTCTCCAGATACTTTGTACTTAGTAGTAAAAGCAATAAATATTTAATAAAGTGAACCTACTCAGTACAAATATTTTTTGTCAACGAAATGAAGTTTTTGCGAAAGCACTTAAATATCTCTAAGGGGTGTTATTTTGGACTTAAAACAACAACAAAAAGAGTGTGTGTGCCCTTAAAAGCCCTAACTAACACACAGGTAAGTCACAATCTGATGAGCATTCTGCCCTTACCTGCAGACATGCGATGGGCAAGAAGCCTCCATCCCTCCCCTTCATTCCCCTTAACCTTAAGAAGCTCAAGCAATTAGGCCTAAAAGAACTTTCCATGGCTGACCTGAGAAAGTGATGTGAAGTCAAACAGAACTGCCAGTAGAGTTTTAAATATTTCTTTACTCATCGATTTTTTTTCTTTTATTTTAAACTTCAAAGTTTATTTCCTCATGAAACTTTATAAAGATTTAGTTCCCACACAGAAAAAAAAAATGACAAATTCTAGAAAAGTACTTTGGAACTTGAGAAATACTGGTAAACGTACTTGCTCTTCCTGCAATTCCCCGCCATGGATCTGACTCTGTGTCCTTACTGAGGACCGGGTGTTCTGCTAAGTGCTACCTTAATTTACACCTTCCGAAAAACCTCTGGATGATAGTTTTTTATATGATTTTCCTTAAAAAGAAGTTGAGAGACTGAGAGGTTAAGTACCCAAGGTCAGAGGTCTTTCAACTGAGGTCAGCACAAAACCGACTGAGTGAGTCTCCCACTCCTCTGCTCCCCACTTTTCCTGCCATCTTTGTACTAGAGCTCTCTTTCTCTGACCACTCCAAAGGAGTAGAAAATAAATAAAAAACTTTCTGGAATAAATCTAAACTGTTAGGAGAGTTCATTTAAAACTGAAGGCCAGAGGTAATAAAGCATCAGCTTACCCAGCTGCCCATAAACGGAGAAAATACTATCACTGAGTTATGAACACAGAATAACCCCTATTTCATCTCCTGACTCCTCTTGAACATGCTGGTCTCTCACTTTGATTCTTTCACAAAACAATTTGTACACTGAGAGTTTGCTAATACATAGCCATTTTTTATTATTGCATATATTTCGTCAAGCTACTCACCACTGCTCCTTGTTTCACACAATATCCAGCTTTGATAACTGCACTATCTGAAGGTGGTTTAGGAGGAAAGTAAGGAAGATGGCTTTGTGACCGTTTCAAATTGTTTCTGTCAATACTTTCACCACATTCATTTACTTCTTCTTTCTAAAATGAAGCAAAATAAAGAAATTCTTTCTTGCTCGTTTAACTTCAAAGCATATCTGTATTCCATGTTGTTATCTTAATAGAAAATCTTCAGATCTAGTCTCAGTTCAGTTAGGAACACTGGTTTTGAAGCAATGAGTTTTCTAATTAATTTGAGATATTTAATCATAATTTCCACATTATTGGTTAAACCACAGATTTCTAGTTCTCTTTTCTGCCAAAGTCTTGCCATGAGTGCTTTTTTTTTTGGTGGAGGTAGGAAGGTAAATAGGGAGTGGGGGTTAACTTATCATTTTGAAAGACGTATATAGATCCAAAGGAAGATCTAAAAAGTAAAACAAAACATACAGGAGGGGCCTATACACCCCTTCAACTGGTCCCCCCAATAGGGAAACTAACTATAGTACATTAACAGAACTGACAATGGAACATTGCACACCTTACTCAGATTTCACCAGTTTTACATGCACTCTCTGTATATGCATCTTTCTAAGAAACTTCATCACATGCAGATTTGTGTAGCCACCACCACAACCAATACGCAAAAGTGTTCAACAGCACAAGACTCCCTTGTGTTACCCCTTTAGAACCCTTATCACCAGTCCCTTGGCAACCACTAACTTGTTCTCCATCTTTATTATTTTGACATTAAAGAATATAACATAGATGGAATCATACAGTAGGTGACCTTCTGAGATTGGTTTTTTTCATTCAGCATAAATCTCTGGAGATTCATCTAGGTTGCTTCTTCTATCAATAGTTTGTGCCTTACTGCTGAGTAGTATTTTATGGTTTGGATTTAACCATTCATCCCTTAAAGGGCATTTGAGTTATTTCCAGTTTTTCACCTATTAGGAATAAAGCTGCTATGCACATTCATGGACAGGTTTTTGTGCAAACATAAGTCTTCATTTCTCTAAGATAAATGCATAGGAGTACAAATGCTGGGTAGTATAGTAATTACAAGTTTTTCTTTTATAAAAAAGCTGCCAAACTGTTTACCAGAGTGACTGTATTATTTCACATTTACCAGCAATGTATAAGTGATTTAATTTCTCCTCATCCCTGTGTTATCATTAATTATTTGGGTCATTCTGCTAGATAGACAGTGAAACTATTTTCCTACTGGCTAATGACAGTGAATATCCATCTACTGTTTATTTGCTATCTGTGTATCTTTTATCTTTTGGTGAGATGAATTCTGAAATCAGAATTCAGAAATCATGAATTCTGCCCTTTTTCTAACTGGACTGTTTGATTTTCTTACTGTTGAGTTGTGACAGTCCTTCATATATTCTAGATACAAGTGCTTTCTCTATATGTGGTTTGCAAATATTTTCTCTCTGTAGTTTTTCTTTCCATCCTCTTAACAGGATCTTTTTTTTTAAATTAAAGTATCATTGATATACAATCTTATGTTGGTTTCAAATACACAACACAGTGGTTCAACAATTACCCATATTATTAAATCCTCACTCCCTCTACTGTGGTCACCATCTATCAACACAGTAAGATGTTACAGAATCATTAACTGTATTCTCCATGCTGTACTACTGTCTCCATGACCAGCTTACACTGTGACTGCGAATTACTGTGCCCCTTTATCCCCTTCACCCTGCCCCTCACCCTCCCCAACCCCTCCCCTTCTGTAAACACTAGTCCCTTCTCCGTGTCTATGAGTCTATGGCTATTTTGTTCCTTCTGTTTTATTTTGTTTTTATACTCCACAAATAAGTGAAACCACATGGTATTTGTCTTTCTCTGCCCAGCTTATTTCACTGAGCATATCTTCTACATCCATTCATGTTGTTGCAAATGGGAGGATTTCTTTTCTTTTTATGGCTGAATAATATTTCATTGTGTATATGTACCACAGCTTCTTCATCCATTCATCTATTGATGGACACTTAGGTTGCTTCCATTTCTTGACTACTGTATATTGTGCTGCAATGAACATACAGGGGTGCATATGTCTTTTTGAACCTGGTATCTTGTTTTCTTTGGGTAAATTCCTAGGAGTGGAATTACTGAGTCAAGTGGTATTTCTATATTTAGTTTTTTTGTGGAACCTCCATATTGCTTTCCACAATGGTTGCACCAATTTGCATTCCCACCAATAGTGTAGGAGGGTTCCCATTTCTCCACATCCTCGCCAGCATTTGTTATTTGTCTTTTGGATAGTGGCCAACCTAACTGGTGTGAAGTGATATCTAGTTGTGGTTTTAATTTGCATTTCCCTGATGATTAACGATGTGGAGCATCTTTTCATGTGCCCATTGGCCATTTGTATTTCTTCTTTGGAGAAGTGCCTGTTCAGGTCCTTTGCTCATTTCTTAATTGGGTTATTTGTTTTTAGGGTGTTGAGGCCTATGAGTTCTTTATATATTCTGGATGTTAACCCCTTATCAGATGAGTCATTTATCAATATATTCTCCCATACTGTAGGGTACCTTTTTGTTCTGCTGATGGTATTCTTTGCTGTACAGAAGCTTTTTAGTTTGATGTAGTCCCACTTATTCATTTTTTACTTTGTTTCCCTTGCCCGAGATGTGTCCAGGAAAAAGTTGCTTATGCTTATATTCATTCAAGAGATTTCTGTCTGTGTTGTTTTCTTCTCAGTTTTATGTTATCATGACTCACATTCAGGTATTTGATCCATTTCAAGTTTACTTTTGTGTATGGAGTTAGACAATTCAGTTTCATTCTCTTACATTTAGTTGTCCAGTTTTTCCCAACACCAGTTGTTGAAGAGGCTGCCTTTTCCCTATTGTATATTCACAGCTCCTTTATTACATATTAATTGACCATATACATGCATAGGTTTATATATGGGCTCTCTATTCTGTTCCACTGATCAAAAGGGTCTTTCATAGAGCAAACATTTTTAATTCTGATGAGGTCCAATTTATCAATTTTTTTCCATTTGTGGATTGTGCTTTTCATGTTGTCTAAAAACTCGTTAGAAAATTTTCTTCATTCTTTTCTAAAAGCTGTATACTTTAAATTTTTTTTTACACAGAAGTTCAGTGCTATTGAAACGCTATCTAAGTATACTCATGTTTTCATGCTCCCCAAAGCATTGGCTTCCTATTTATTTACAATATACAACACATGTGACTATCTAGAATCCCATAAACCAACCAAAGGTGTATTTTCAAGAACTTCTACATTTCAAGAGAAAAACTAAATACTCAAATAATATCTGGAGTAATTTTCAACCTATTCTACATTTAGACAGGTTGATAACACTAATTATATACTTAACTTTGTAATCCCAGTGCTAAACTGGCTGCTAACCCAATGGTTACTGAAGAAATTAAGCAAGCAAATGAGATTTGACATTTTCTTGGTAACATATCATTTAAACACTTTCACAATGAGTGAATACTACTTTTAATTTAAAAAAATATGTTGTAAAATGGTAAAGCAATAAAATTCTTTGGGATTTTTAAAATATGTACCTGCCATGGAATCTTAAAACCTACTAAATAATCTATACCAAAATTAAAATACAAGAAAATCTTAATTCTATACAAAATTAAAACAGCCACAGATATACACTACTACAATATCTTAATATAACTATATAAAAATTATGTTACCCTTTATATCAACATAAGACATAATATAGGTAAAAGCAGCTTAGTCTAACTATACCTTAATCAGAACTCTTACAAGTGAAAATTATTACTTTAAAAAGAAAGAATGACTACACATATACAAAATCTTAACTTATTTTTTATCCAACTTTGGTGAAAAATGTAAGCCTCCATTAGAGCAAGGATTTTTGTCCATTAATATACCCTTTGCCTATAAGAAAGCAAGCATTCAATAATTGATTAATATGGTAAGAATTCTTTTTCTACTAATTACTCTTCTCTAACAAAATACCTGAAAAATATGATACATAATACAATTTTAAAAGTTTATAAAGTGCCAAAGCCTCTTAACTCCAAAAAGGCATACAGGTGTCCAACACTGGCAATACCATCATGTGAAAACTCTTGGTTTCTCAACTGCTAATAATTTCATTTGCATTACAAATTCACTCAATAGCAACACAGAAATTTAAGTTCATTTAGGTTTGAATGTCATCAAACTTTAAAGTAAATTTATATTTTTCCAAGATTCAACTTAGCATATTAGCACTTTTGGGAAAGAACTGTTGCTTATGCTTATATTCATTTGTTTGACTTACCTAGGCCTGGCTGCAGAAAACAGGTCTAAAAAATTACACATATTTGAGTCAGCAATTTTATTTCTAGGAATTTATCTTTAAAAAAAAAAACATTCTCTATGTCTCTAAAGTTTATGCTAAAAGATGTTCATCATAGCATTTATGAGACAATAGAAAACGTACATTGGTCTCTGTCCCTGGTTCCTGGCACAGGGCTCCTAAAACCCTTGCAAAATTCCTAAGTGATAGGAGCACTAGGAGCATCTCTTGTTCTAATGAGGTAACTCTGGGTGGGCTCCTGGATGGCTCCTGAAGGCAGGCTGGTCACCAGAAAGACTAAGCCATGATCTTGGAATTTTTAGTCCCAGCCTTCATTCTCCAGAGAGAGGAGAGAGGCTGAGAACAGTTAATGGTCAATCATGCCTACATGATGAAACCTCCATAAAAATCCCAAGAGTGGGGTTTGGAGAGCTTCTGGGTTGAATGCATGCAGGTGCTGCAAGAGTGCCAGGGGAGGACATGGAAGCCCCTTCCCACACATCCTGCCCTACCTATCTCTTCCATCTGGATGTTCATCTTCTATCCTTTATCATATCCTTTTATAATTACCATTAAACAGTAAGTAAACTGTTTCCCTGAGTTCCGTAAGCCACTAGGGAAGAGGCTATGAGAACCTCTGACTTACATCCCATTGGTCAAAAGCACAGGTAATAACCTGGACTTTCAATTGGCATCTGAAGGTGCACTGGCAGGGGAAGGGGAGCAGTCTGGTGGAACTGAGCCCTTAACCTGTAGGATCCAGTTAGATAGTGTCAGAATTGAGTTAAACTGTAGGATACCAGCTGGTATGCAAAAGTGCTTGGTGTGGGATAAATACCCACACATCTGGTATGAAAACAGTGAGGGTGACAGTGGTATGACAGTAAAGGAGAATCATAGGAAGAGTTGTTTTTTCCTACTCATACTGTCTGTAAAAGAAAAAGGGAGAAGAACTCTGTCCAACAACAGAGGATTTATAAACTATGGTAAATTCATGGCAAAACTACTATACAGTCATTCAAAATGATGTGGAATAATTTTTGATGACTTAGAAAATGTTTGAGGTACAAGTGAAAAAAGTTATTTACAAAGTATCTTTATTTCTGGGGGCAAAGATACACAGAAGAAAGGCTCAGAGAAAGCATGAGAGGCATAAAGTGTTATTTATCTGTGATTTCCAAAATTTTACAATAAACATACTTTTGAAATAAATATACAGACACACACAAATTTTTATTGACTACTGTATTAATTCAGTAAAAATGTTCTGTTTTAGTTTTCCTAACAATATATAAAATCAATATACAGTACCTCAACCATCACACAATAGAAGAACAAATTTATTACCTGAGTTGGAGTAATGATGGGTACACCACCAACGATGTCAGTTCTGTAAGACACTTGTTTCTTCCCACATTCACCTTGGCGACTCAGGTTATCAGAATGAGGGTGTGAGTCTGACTGCTTTGGTACCTAAAAGAATAGGTCAGATGAATCATTTTGCAAACAGCATATTATATGTACACACTGTATTTGCAACCCTCTTTTATCACAGATATTTCCAACTAAGTGTCCAGTTATATATAATTGACATACATAAAAATTATTTATAATGTATATGTATATGCCCTTTAAGTCCTCTTACTAATCCTTCTGTTACAGGAACACTTTATAATACAGCCATCATTAAATTACTGAGGGCTTACTTGGGCAGGTACTATTTCATATAATTTTCCATTTGATTCTCCTGCCAACCCTATGCATAGGAGCACTATCTTCTCCACAGCAGCAGTTATGAAAACAGAGGCTGGGAGGATTAGGAAATGTAGGTTTACATCCTGGCTGTACAACATTCCAGCTAAACTTGTTTAACTCTCTTTGGCATTCTACCACTATACTACACACCCTGTTTATTAGAGCACATGACATTGTATTACAGCTTGTGCTGTTATCTTTCCCTTTCCTCTGTTCCTGCCCATGAGTCTGGAAAGTCTCTGAGGACAAGGATTGTGGCAAATTCATCATTACTGGCTCCAGGACAGTCTACTACTGAAAACACAGTAAGTATTCCATAAATGTTGAAAGACTGATGCAGTAGATGAATCTAAAATCAGCAGGAAAAAGAAAAAACACTTAACATCAGTTAAAAGTCAAAATGTTCAGAATAACTTAAAACTTAGGAATTTTTAAAAGGAATTCCAATACTCATATCAGTGACAAATCACTCACAGGCTTATCAACTATATACATATATATATACAGTATAAACAATGACTGTGGCAGCAGCAGAATTTCATATTAACACCTCACTAAAGCAGATCAAAGAACCAAAGGTATCACACAAGTTTAATACACATTTTAGCTTTTCTTATATGGCCTAATCAGGGCATAAGCTACTTGGCTAATCAATAATTCTGTTGATAGATGTTTCATGTAGTCTGGATTTGAATTATAAATTTTCAAAGCTTTGAATAAAATGTAATAAAAAATGATCACACTTAAAACCACAATGAGTATCACCTCACATCAGTTGGAATGGCCAATGTCGAAAAGACAAGGAACAACAAATGCTGGCGAGGATGTGGAGAAAGGGGAACCCTCCTACACTGCTGGTGGGACTATAAATTAGTTCAACCATTGTGGAAAGCAATATGGAAGTTCCTCAAAAAACTAAAAATAGAAATACCATTTGACCCAGGAAGTCCACTCCTAGGAATTTACCCAAAGAAAACAAGATCCCAGATTCAAAAAGACAGATGCACCCCTATGTTTATCGCAGCACTATTTACAATAGCCAAGAAATGGAAGCAACCTAAGTGTCCATCAGTAGATGAATGGATAAAGATGTGGTACATGTACACAATGGAATATTATTCAGCCATAAGAGGAAAACAAATCCTACCATTTGCAACAACATGGATGGAGCTAGAGGGTATTATGCTCAGTGAAGTAAGCCAGGTGGAGAAAGACAAGTACCAAATGACTTCCCTCATTTGTGGAGTATAATAATAAAGAAAAACTGAAGGAACAGAACAACAGAAGACTCACAGACTCCAAGAAGGAAATAGCAGTTACCAAAGGGGAGAAGTAGGGGAGGGTGGATGGGGAGGGGGAAGGGGATTGAGGGGCATTATGATTGGCACACATGGTGTATGTGGGGGGGGGGGTCATGAGGAAGACAGTGCAGCACAGAGAAGACAAGTAGTGACTCTGTCGCATCTTACTATGCTGATGGACGGTGACTGCAATGGGGTGTGAGGGGACTTGATAATACGGGTGACTGTGCTAACCACAATGTTTTTCATGTGAAACCTTCATAAGAATGTGTATCAATGATACCTTAATAAAAAAAAAATGCTCACACGCCCATTATGCTACTGAGCATTATATTAACTGTCCCTGGAGCTGCTTCCCTCAACCCGCCCACTTTTCTCACCAGCTTCGCGAGCCCCCTGCCCTCCATATTCACACCACAATGCCAGTCCACGGGCAGATGCGCAAATGCAAGAGGAAGAGGAGTGAATCCTGAGGTGAGGGGGACGCCTCCAGAAGTCTGAGTCATTTCTAAGAGGTTGTACATTTCCAAGTGCTTTTTAAAGACAATACGGTAATGGGTAGAATTTTACTTCACAAGATTTCCATAAATGCTTAAGTGCCAGAGTGCTACAAAGGACACACTTGGAAACAATTTGGTAAGGAAGCTCATTGTGTTTCCTATGAACAGCATCATGTATTTTGATTACTCTGAAAGAGAAAATGTGGCCAAGTTATCCCACTAAGAACAGAATATAGTATTAAGGGAATTTGAAACCAGAGAGATTCTGAGTTATCTATTCAACTATATTAGCTGAATGTGATGCTAACAGGTGACCCATATAAAAAAAGTGATTCCCCCTTTCAAGAAGTTGGATTTAGTCATATATGGGAATTTCCTAAGAAAAACCTTTAATACAACCTTAAAAATATACTGAAATTCACTTTGGTTTTTCCATTTTTCTTCCAGAAATGACAGCATATTGAATTTTTGTCTATGTTAAGCCCACTGCTTCCAATTTGTTCTTATAAGAAAGCAAAATGCTAAATTCAGCATTAATTTCAATATTAGAGTTCAATAATTAACTTAGAATTGCATTTTACCATAAAAATTATCTGAATTATAATCATGTCCTAAGAAAAAGAAAAATACAAGCAAAACACCCACAAATATACCAACTCTCTTAAAAATTCTTAATGAAAAGTTAGTCTAAATTCAGTCATTAAAATAAACGTATTTCCAGGACAAAAAAAAAAAGAATCAGCCAACTATTTAATGAGAATCAGAAGTGATCTCACTAGACAGATGGTATCAAAGGCCCTGAACACCCTTGGTCTCACTGCATGCTGCCTTCTTTCCCTCTCCCAGGCTTTCTTTCCTCTCGTGACTGTTTTTTGTGAGAAATTCATAGGTATTTTTAGTAGGCATCTGCATGTCATCCTAACAGTAGGGAACGGAAAGGCAAAAATGACTACAGAATGAAGAGATAAACAAAATGCAGAATTACAACACGGTCTGAAGACTGAAACCAAAAGGTTCCAACACGGACTCCTGAGTGTTACGAGCCTTGTGAGGGCTCCAACTATGACCTGCTGGCTGAAAACCACTAGTAAAAAGTGTGAAGCCCTTGTACCTTGAGGCACATGCAGTATTTTGTCAGGATCGAAGTCCTGTGTTCAGCTTACCCTGCTTGTTCCCAGTTGCCAATTTAAAAAAAGAAAAAAAAAAGTGGAAATTATGCCACTTCAAGACACTAAATTTTAGATTAAAATCTAATACAGATTTTTAATTAAAATCCATAGTGAGAAAAGACATTTTAAAAAAATAGTAAGTTTCTGCTTAGGAATACATACATATGTATCTTGGATATCCCTCAATCAGTAAAAGACCAGAGACCACCATAATTACGTTAATAGAAATGAATAGTTAGTTGGAAATATACTTTAAAATTTGATGTTCCAAACTCTAGTCACTGAGTCTCCTTTCAGGATTGATTCCTCTATTACTGTTTTTTGTTTTGTTTTGTTTTTTTAACAAGAGGAAAAAAAGTTTAAATGGCAGCCACCTTCAGGAAGGTAAGGAAAGCTACATACTACTGCTGTAGGATAACCTGGTAAGACGGCAAAGTACTATAATTAGGAAGGCCTAAGTAACCACTGTGCCCCTACGCAGTATCCTCTAGCCACCTTATTCTGAAACCATAGAACTCTCAAGACCTAATTTGGTTAATTTTTTTTAGTTTTTTAAATTGAGGTACATACAATGCACAAATCTCAGTGGCACAGGTTGACGAATTCTGACACGTGTATACATTCGTAACCATCACCTAAATCAAGATATTAAACATTCTAATTTTTTTCCCTTTGGATTTCGATAAATATTAAGTTTATATATTGTATTGTACTCAGACCACTAAATTACAGTTGACCAAAATGTCATTGGAGTGATTCCACAGAAAGGTAAACTGCACATATATTAAAATGTAAACTTAATTTTTCAAGGTTATCTACATATAAATCATCAGCAATTTCCACAGGAAAGTATGACAAATTAGAGATAACACGTTAATCCACTCAGATGTGTAAAATGCATCTGACAAGGTTTTTTTTTTAAGAAATAATTAAATAAAATGTATGTTACTAAAGTATGTTAAATTCTTCCATTGCTACTCTATGAGTAAATATGTATCTATATAAAGTTGGTATTTAATAAGTATTATCAATTTTATATTCACTTCAATATAGTTATAATCATTTTGTTGACAAGCTAAGGATTTCTATCTTATATGTATTTATAGTTTCTAAATATGAATTATAAAAACATTACTCATAAAAGCACAAATACCAAGATTAATCTTAAAAACCATAAAGATTTCAACATGTAAAATAAATCTGCAAGACCACAAAAGCTATTTAAAAGTCCACATACTTTGAAACATCAACAAATCAGTTTCTCCAGCACTCAAATACGCTTAACAGTGTCATTTGTGTAAGACAGTTTCACACCATTAATAAATCATATGCAACAAATCAGGAATCCCCCAAATGGGAGAAAGCCTGAGACATTCACTATTTTTTCTCTAAAGCACTAAGAAAGCTGTGCTGTTTATTAGTGCAAATTGTAAAAAATGAATTAATCCAGTAAAGTTACTAGATACTGTCTTTCTAAAGAAACTTTCCAATAGGGAGTATTTATTAAAAGAGTTAAAAACAATCAGCTGAGACCTGCTAAGAATATGTACTTCTGAAGCAGTTCAAAACATTGCTTTCCTGAAAGTGCACAAACCTAAAATAACTTCTGCTTCATGTACAGATCAGATGCAGTACGTGGGTGTTTTCTGTGATGTGGTAACAAGCTGTTCTGGAGCAAAACAAAAAATTCAACTTGACTCTGAGAACAGCTGTAGTTATATTAACTCTTTATTGTGTTGCAATATAAA